GTATGCTACCATGGAAACTGTGGCAAAAGCCTGATGCTACATACGAGAAGCGAGTAGGTTTGGCACAGTAGCGAGGTACTAAGTTAGTGACTGGTTTGCACCGAGGTCGAATCATAGGATTCGAAAAAGTTTTCGATTTGGGAAGGAAAAGTTTTTGTTTTGGATAGGAAATGCCCCTCGAAAGGCTCTCGGGGGGTAGTGGGTAATGATAGAACTGTAATATATAAACACTAGAAGATGTAAAAAGCATATTCAGGCAAGGGATATCCAGCTTGGGGAGGGAAAGGATGAGAGTCGCAAAGGGAAAGGGAGGCCGAGAACGAAGAAGACAAGAAAGGCTCGGATCCGAGGTCGGCTTTAAAATAGTTAGGAAAACAGACGGCTTAAGCACGGAGAGCGAAAAACAGTTGTTTATAGAAATATATTGCGGCTAGAGGGGCAAGATGTAGACCTCAACGGAGGATTGTCAGATAACCTCGACAGAGGACCTCGACAGAGGAATTTTTGATGTTAACCGCAGCGGAGGACCTTGACGGAGGATTTTGTAACCTCGATGGAGGACCTTGACGGAGGATTTGTAACCTCGACGGAGGACCTCGACGGAGGATTTGTAACCTCGACGGAGGACCTCGACGGAGGATTTTGTAACCTCGACGGAGGACCTCGACGGAGGATTTTTGTTAACCTTGACGGAGGACCTCGACGGAGGATTTGTGTTAACCTCGACGGAGGACCTCGACGGAGGATTTTGTTAACCTCGACGGAGGACCTCGACGGAAGATTTGATGTTTTTCCTCGACGGACCTCGACGGAGGATTTTGATAAAAGCGGTGGGATGTAGACGAAAGCAAAAGCAAAAAAAGCTGACGGTCTTGACCGAGCAGCTAAACTCCCTCTATCGCCTCCATCATCCCACAAGCTCCCATTGCGAACAATGTCTTCTCCAAATCTTCCGTCCTCTTCGTCGACACTCTTCGCTCCGTCCGCCATCACTGAAGCGACGCGCCGTAATCGACACGACGGAAATTGAGACTAAGGAAGAGCTAGCAACGCCCATACGTCTCCCGTCTTGCCGATTAAAGATACTGTAGGTGCGATTTTCAAAATCTCAAGCCTTCCACAGAATTTTCAAATGACTTTCATGACGAATGCTGCAAAAAGCGTAATACTTGCGCTTATCGCCACTCCACTTCAATCTACTGCATTCCATCCTCTTTATCAACGACATACCTGGTCCTTGTCCAGAGTGAAAACATTTCCGGATGGGGATGATAATGGAGAAATGTTCAATGATTTTGAGGATATATTTATTGGTGAACAGCAAGACGACTCTCTCTTGCCTTCAGAGACTAAAAGTCTACAAACGAGGCTGGACATATTGGTCAACCAGGAACACGAAGATGAAGTGAGAATAGCCGGTAACTGGAAGAACGGTCGTTGGAGCGTTCGCGGTTGTTCATTAGACCCAGGCAATGAGGACGAACGAATCTTCGTATCTAGTCTTTGCCCCATTGACGATGATCCAAACACGGTCCTTGTTGGCCGAACAGATGGTAGCATTTGTTGGTTGAAGCTGGGGAACGAGTATATTGCCAGATTTGTGACCAAATTGTCAGCGATAGAAGGGAAGAATGAAACCATTCGGGTTTCGGGACAGCTCAGACGTGAAGACACTCAAAACGAAATCTCCTCCGACTCATCACAAGCATCAAATCAATTTGAAGTTGTTGGCCAAGTAATGGCACATGGTGGAGGGATCAGCCAAATGCTCATTCAGGACGAACTTCTTTTGTGTGCGACATACTCCGGTACACTTGAGTATTGGATCCTCTCTGGAGATGAACCAATGTCACAGGAATCAAAGATTCTTTGTCAGGCACCATCATCTGTTGTTTCCATCTGTGTACAAGCTGTAAATGGGAAAAGGGTGCTTGTTTGCACATGCGAAGACGGGGATGTTCTAACTTGGGACATTGAAGCTCAATTTGCACCACTACAATCTCGCAAGCTGTCCGCTGTGGTTACACCTGGGGACACCATCCTTTCCTTTTACTCTGATGAGACCTACAGCTATTTTGGAACGAGTCAAGGGCGTCTTCTGGTATACAATACAAGAGATATTTTGGCAAGCACCTTTGACATCAATGCCATAAAACGGTTTTCACCCTTCTCCGGTGGCTCTGCAGGAGTCTCAGCAATTGTTTCATCTCAACAGAGCGGCTTTGCATCTGAATCACAAGCATCAATGACCTTGGTTCTAGGCAGTACGAACGGGAAAATAAAACAATATGCGATGATGCCCCAGAAGATTGGACTGGAGCATTGGCCCAGACTGGAGAGCCAGTCGATTCCAGGAAAGTGTCACCTCTTCGAATCCCCCAGCGAAGAGCGTGTCCGAGCTCTTAGATTCATTCCCGGTGCTATTCTGGCGGCCTCGAGTAATCAGTTGACGCTGTGGGATCCAGAGAATGGTAAAGCACTGTTTGAGATGCTGGGTTTGGACTTCGAATCTACAGAAGCCAGCCTTGTATTATTGGACTCGAACTCGGTCTTGATCACAAATGGCATGAAGCACTTGGTATGCCTGCACGACTTTTCTGAACAGGAGCTTGATTTGGACGAAAATTTCGAAGTAATCTAGATGAAAAGTGTCATGTCTATCTTCAAACTAAATTAGGACCTGTATTTGATATTATCTCAATCATTAGTAGTAGTCAAAGTACGCGATATGACTATTTTTTGTGTTTTGGGAGGCTGCGATTGCTCAGTTCCTTCTCAATCGCTTTGGATTTTGCAGACTCCAATTGGGCCTAAAAGAGTTTCAATGATGTTTTTGGGCTGAGACGTTTCAAATTGAGTAGCGAGGTACGGGGTACGATGACAAACATGGCGATTGCTCATCCTTCTCAATCGCTTTGGATTTCGCAGACTCCAATGGGGCCTAAAAGAGTTTCAATGATGTTTTTGGGCTGACAGTTGTTACTAGCTGTTGGCCCCCAATCCCCCAGCGCAAGCG